CACATGATTTCAAGATTTATTTTTGCACTTCTCTCTAAAATGTCTTGAAGAAACAGGCGTGTGCTGTGTGCAATAAGTGATGTGGTACATAATGCAATAGGAAGGGCAGCTGGAGTCGGGACAGAGGAACCAGAAGGGAAGGTCTATTTGATTAAACTACTAATTTCCATATATGATTTATTTACTGAGATTCCCTGAAATATATGTTTTGAATTCAGGTTAAATTGCAGCAATGTAATTAGGAAGAAGGAGAATCCACAGTCATATATTCATATAGTCACTTGATAATTTCTTGTATTTCCTTATGCAATATCTGATAGTTAGGTAGTTATAAAGTAATGTTTGTGTTCCTGCTGTAAGTGTACTTGTATTGATGTTTTTCACATTGTTGTTTATTTGTTCCTGGTGGTCTGAAAATTCTTACTTGTGGCTGGAATTACCTATCCTCAGTCAAAAGTTAGTAGGAAAAGTTAAAAGATGGGAGGTCTCTGCAAGTTGCAATAAAACTAAATGCTCCTCAAAAGTCGTATGCTTAGGAATGAAGCTTCAGTGTCATCCAGTTCCACCCCCTGCCACAGGCAGGTACACCTTCAATAGACCAGGTTGCTCCAAGCCCTGTCCAACCTGGTTTTGCACATTTCCAGGGATGGGGCAGGCACAGCTTCTCTGGGCAAACTGTGCCAGGGCCTCTCCACCCTTACAGGGACACATTTCCAGGGATGGGACAGGCACAGCTTCTCTGGGCAACCTGTGCCAGGGCCTCTCCACCCTTACAGGGAAAAATTTATTCTGTTATCTGATATAAATTTACCTTTGTATTTATAGCATTATTAGAATTGCATTGCAGACATAATTTCTATTTCAGAAAGTAGTTAGTGAGGACTTGTAGTGCTCTGTAATTGTGTATGTATTGAGAGCAGTGCATTAGAAAAAGCTGGTTAAATCCACAGGTGGTGATTTCAACCCATACTATAAAATACATCTCAGTATTTTTTAATCCCTCATGCCATTTTCTTATATCATGTTTATAATGTATTCATTTGTCTGCCTGATGTTAGGGCCTGCATGTACGCAACGTGAGCCTCAATTGCCTGGACTGAGGGTGGAGGGCAGAGCTGCCAGCTGGGACTTTGCACATTAACATGTCGGCTTTGGGGCTTCCCAAATTACAGGGTGCTCATGTTCTTGTGCTCCCATGCTGCTGCTGAAGGTGAACGCTTCTCCTGTAAACCTTTCCTCACGGGTAAAGTGTTTGCTTTCAAGCATGATCTGCTTGTAAAACTGTGTTAAACTCTCAAGAAATATTCAACAATTCCTAAGCAAACACTGCTCAGGGGTGTGTGCTTAGGAAGAGGAGATGTGATAAATACCATATGGTGCACGGGACTCTGGGTCTGTGTTTTTTGTCTCCTTTCTTGTGAAGGAAGTGCCTCCAAATGACAGTCTGTTGGCAGTTTTTCTTCACCAGTCACCAAAATATAAAGATGGATATGGCGGTTTCTCTCACTGAGAAACACTGGGAGGGACCGTGAAGGGTCTCTGAGGGATTTTGAGAGGCTCTAAAGGGCAGTGATGGACTGTGACGTGTTCTGAGGAGCCGTGAGGGATTCTGAGGGGCAGTGAGGAGTTCTGAGAGGCCGTGAGGGGCTCAGAGAGACTCTGAGGGATCTAAAGTGCTGTGAGGGGTTCTGAGGGTCTCTAAAGGGCCATGAGGTTCCCTGCCGGTCTTTGAGAGGCTTTAAAAGGGCTGCAGTGGCCTGTGAGAGGCCATGAGGGGCTCTGAGGTGCCGTGAGGGGTTCTAAAGGGCCGTGAGGGGGTCCGAGGGGCAGTGAGGAGTTCTGAGGGACTCTAAGGGATTCTGAAGGGTCATGGGGGGCTCCAGGAAACTTTGAGAGGCTCTAAAAGGCTGTCGTGGACTGTGAGGGGTTCTGAGGAGCTGTGGGAGGCTCTGAGGATCGGTGAGGGGCTGTGAGGTGCTCTGAGGGGCAGTGGGGAGTTCTGAGGGGCCATGAGGGGTTCTAAAGGGCCATGAGGGAGGCTGTGGTGGACTTTGAGGGGCTGTGAAGGGCCATGAGGGCTCCTGAGAGACTTTGAGAGGCTTGAAAAAGGCTGTGATGGGCTATGAGGATCTCTGAGGGGCCATGAGGGGCTCCGAGGTGCCATGACGGGTTCTAAAGGGCCGCGAGGGGCTGTGATGGACTGTGAGGGGTTCTGAGGGTGCGTGAGGTGCTCTAAGGGGCCAAGAGGGATTCTAAAGGGCCATGATGGGCTGTGAGGGGCTCTGAGGATTTGTGAGGGTCCATGAGGGGCTCTAAAGGACTGTGAGGGGTTCTAAAGGGCCGCGAGGGTCTCTGACTGACATGGAGAGGCTCTAAAGGGCTGTGATGGACTGTGAGGGGATCTGTGCGAGCTCTGAGGGGCCATGAGGGGTTCTAAAGGGCCATGAGGGAGCTGCGGTAGACTGTGAGGGGTCTAAAGCACTGTGAGGGGTTCTGAGGGGCTCTAAAGGGACTCTGAGGGGTTTTGAGGGGCTCTGAAGGGCCATGAGGGTTTCTGAGGGACTTTGAGAGGCTCTAAAGGACCATGATGGGCTGTGAGGGTCTCTGAGGGGCAGTGAGGAGCTCTGAGGGACTGTGAGGGTCTCTGAGGGCCGTGAGAGGATGCGAGTGGTTCTGGAGGTTACCAGGGACCTTGAGGGGCTGTGAGAAGCTCTGAAGACTCTGAGGGGGCTGTATAACAAAATACTCCTAGAGATTATGGAGTCCATTGGAAAAGCTGACTGATCCAAATTCATTGTCTTCTGACATGGTAAGCTACAGGAAACTGCTGCTGTTGTTTGCTGGGGGGATTTTGCCAAAATGCATTTGTGTTTGAAGTGTGCAAAGTGAATGCCTGAGACAGTAGTGCTGACAAAAATGCTTTAAAAAAGCATTAAAAGAATGGGGCAAAGGACAAACTAATGACAACCTACCAAAAAATTAGATTTGGCCAACAGGGAAAGAAAAGGGATCTGAATACTCCTAACTTCTAAGTCAATCCTTCAGCGCCATGCTACAATCCTTGCAATACAGTGCTGAATCTTTTCAATATTTTGTGGCCAGTCTCTTGCACTTGTATGGTAATTTATATATGAAGCATGTGGACTGCTGAATACTCTTTTTGTAGACAAGATGTTAATATTCTGCATTATGATCTTTGTTCGGGTGCATGGAAAGTCATTGAAGTGACTTGAAGTGATGTACACTGCAGTAATTTGATTATGAGGTAATAAAATTATGAATCAAGGAAATGAGAATCTACTTGGAAAGCATTGCTTGTGTCTTCTTAGCCAGAAACAAATGACATAGAATTGCGTGGGCTTACCTACAATCTGAGCTTCCAACAGTAATGGAGATGTCAGCACTTTGAGCTTTTTATGTTATTCTGTGTGAAAGAAAAACAAGCAGTAATTAGTTCATCCCTAAGAACCCAAAGTTGTAGGTGGTAATTTGTTGCATCATTCTTTCTTAACCTTTTAAAAGTATAAAGCTGATGGTTGTAGTTTTGCTGTGCTAGGTTATTGTTGTAGTAGTAAAGCATGAAAAAAATGGGGAGAAAGAAGGCAAAAAATGTGTATTATTGAGGGCAAAGATGATTTTTCCAATCATCCAGACTGACCCTTCATGCACTTGGATGTTTGTTCTTGGTTTGTGTTTTTACCAAGACACATGATTTTTTCAAAGATATTTAAATATTAAAACATAATTTGATGTCTTTATGAGCATATCCTCATCCCAGGAAAGTATGTGCTCACAAAGACATATTTTTGTCTTGGCATGTAGCATAGTTGTAAGGAGGCTGATTTTGATGACATCCATCTGTTGCAGATTAAAATAGGTTGGAATCAGGGATTGTGAAGCGAGTGATAAGCAGGGTGACCGAAAAAAATGCATTGGAATGGATTGGGCAACTGAAATAAGTGGCTGGAAGCGGGAGGGGTTTGGGATATTCTCATGATGCCAAAGAGCAAGTCCCAGCCCGAGGGAGTGCAGGCCATCCCCTGCCTCTGGGCTCACAGCCCCACAAACAGCCGCTCGTGCTCATTTACCCGCTCCTTGCACTCACTCCCGCTCGGGACAGTTGTTGCTGTCCCTGTACACCTTCCTAAACACTTATTCTGGTACTCCTGGCTTCCCAAATGGCTTGGGTTTGTCTCCTGGTCTCGGGCGTCTTAGTGGCCGATTTGCCTCTGTGGGGGGAGATCCAAATCTGGGCTGGTTCCAAGCAGCCGGTGGAGTTTTGTGTCACAGACAAAGGTAAGAGGGCTGAGGTGTTCCACGCTCTGTTGCTTAACAGTACATCCCACAACCTGGCTGAAAAAGGAAAGCTTATTTTCATGGGATTCTTAAACCTATTTTTTAATGAGAGCAGGCAGTTCAGGGCTGGGAGTGTTTACAGCATGATCCTGGATTTGGATACTCAGCCTTGAGTACTTCATCCGCTTTGTTAGCTACACGTGCAGTGCTGCTCACTTTGAGTGTAGGCATCTAAAAATAATAGATCTGAATCTGTAAATAACATCTATACGAATCTGCAAACAACATGCATAAATACATAAATAATACATAAAATTATATATATAAGGAGATCATATTTTATATGTAATTCTCCATAAAACTATAGTTAGCAAGCTGATGCATTTATTTTTCTCTTGTTGACAATATCAGTTACTATGATTTATGGCTGTTTGGTGGTGGTTTTTTTTTTTAGATCTTGCTAAATTTTGAATGTCAGCAATTATTGCTCTATTTTGCTCACTCTGACAGGTCTACAGCTCTTTTGTGCCATTATTGCCGAACTTAAATATGCTAATTAATGCAGATATACTTCAAACCCAGTTGTTTCACAGCTTTATTCTCCTGCTGCATAAAATGTGGAAACCTTTCACCGCTGATGAAGTTCTGCTCTGGTTTAAGCAGGGGCTAATTGGAGAATTTTTTTTTTTCTTCTCTTTTTGCAGTCTGACAGCAATGCAAGCTTTCTCCGAGCTGCCAGAGCTGGCAATTTGGACAAAGTAGTGGAATACCTGAAAAGTGGAATAGACATTAACACCTGTAATCAGGTAAGATATTTCCTGCACACAAGCTTGCAAGAGTGAATTGGAAGAAACCTGAGCACTGTAGAGATGTGATTTATCTCTTTATCCTGCTGAATGTGGCATGCTCAGCCCCTGGATTCTCCTTAGCCGTCCCACGTGAAGCACCTGATCCCTTGAGAGCTTAGGTGTAGGAGTCTGAGGCTTCCCCTGTTGTTTTTGTGGGATCTCAGGGGGTAGGTAAGCTCTTGAGTGGGTGTAGCTGTAGCTGCCCAGATAATTCGTGTCCAAGCAGATTAAAATCTTGGCACTCACCTTGATACTCACTGGCAATGCAGTCCTGGTTACTCTCATATGGCTAAAAGGGGTAGCCAGGGGCTTTCACCTTGTTTTGCAAAACTAAATGTGTTTTTATCACTGGTCAATAATATCTACAACATAACATAAAAGGTACTTAAATGTTGCACTTCACATACTGTCTCCCCTTTCAAGAAAGTTATAACTGCTGTAAAAGTACACTGTTAAAGTTTCACCATTGATGTGACTGTAATGTGACACAATATTTTGGCTTGGCTCTTTGGTAGGTCTGTCATATAAATCCAATTACTTTGGCTTCATAGCTTAGGGACCTACATTTGCAGCGTTTATTTAAGTGACTAGAACCATCAAGTTTAATAAGACTCTAACCATGACTTAAAATAAATATGCAAGTAAGTGTCTGCATCAGTTCTGAGAAGTGTCTTGGCTTTCTAGCGAAATCACTGCAGTTTCTTTGATGGGGAATTTGACAGCTCAGGCTTTATGGTGCCCAGCTTTCCCCTAACTCTTAGCCAGATTTGATCAGAGCGACCACTAACTGGACAGTGGCTATGCCTTTTGGAAGTAAAACCCCAGAACTGTGACCACTATTTCTTTTGGGAGAGGGAAAAAAAAAAAAAAAAAGAGTAACTGGGAGAATCAGGGATGAAATAATCTAAAATATTTGATGCTGTCACCTTCCCTGCTGAAGAAAAGCTGCAGATGATTAAAGGAGGCATGTGTCAAATGGAACTGGGGCACAGGAGTGAGAGCGAATCTGTTGGCTGTGCCAAGGAATTTAATGATGAGGAGGATAAGAGCTGGGGCTTTTCATGTTCTGCTTATTGAAAACATACAGAAATGTTCTTGTCTTACTGTCTAGGAGAAAGTTTCCTTTAAAAGACTTACTGTCAAGGAAAACTTCCCGGGTTATATGGGACATGCCCTGGTAAACTTCAGGTTGCCCAGTTAGGAGAGAGTAAAGCTAGACTCAAGTCCTTGTGCTCAAGTAGATCCAGCAAGTTTTCCATCTTTATTATAAGCACCAATATTAACAAAGAGATTCACCCCCTGGACAGAGCACAGTAATTAATATCATAATTACTTAGGAATGTTACAAGGTTTTTTTCCCAGTGTTCATTTCTCCTGCTGGTTATGGGAAGAATATGACAAAAGTTGCTGCAGATTTATCCTCTGTGGAAAGTGCTTCCCACCTGCAGCTGGTGACAAAGCTCCACTGGTACCATGTAGGTGAGATCAAAGTGTTCACCACCCACAGAGCACAACCAAGCACTTCAGCTTCTGGCAGACTCCAGTTCTGGTGCCATATAAAATTGCTCACAGAGATTTTTGTATCTGAGGCCCTCAGTGCTTCCATTGATTAAGCATCGCTGGAGTATTGTGAATTTTATTGGGAGTGGGAGCAGATTCCCTCTGCTAGAGGTCAAGGAATATTGAGTAAGCCATGGCAGCCTTCAAGTTATTCCTCCTCCTTTGTCTCCTCCTCAGGGTTTGGCCAGGGTGTCCACGTCATTGTGTTCCAGCTGTCTAAGGGGAGAAGCAAGCACAGTCTGTGCAAAATGCAGGGGTGTATTTTATTTTTAACAGTGAGATATCTCAATGCTCTTTTAAAAATGGAGCTTTGTATGTGCAGGGTATTTTTCCTCAGTAAAATGCTATTTTTAGGTTGGATCTCATGTGAGAAAACCATACATAATGTTAAATATAAGCTTTCCTGAATGGAGAGAACACCAGCAGATTCTTTCTTCAGTTTCAATGGGTTTTTTCTCACATCCTGAGTTTTCAGAGTGATATATTTTTGTAGATAGTCTAAGTATTTTCCCAGTGTAACTGTTGCCAAAATATGATGGAGCTTAATGTTTCTGGATATACTGAACACAAAGTAGTTAATAAAGCAATTATATAGCCAACACCTAGGCATTACTTAAATTTGCTTTGTTGAATGCTACTATCATAACAAGCTCACTTATTATAGAATTGCTTGGTTTAATCTGAATTCAAACATTGTCATCTATTCTGAAAACCATAAATCAACTCTGTTTATTTCTGGAGAGAGTTAAAAATGTCAGGGGAGAAATTCCCCAGTTTTATGAGGTGTCCCTTAAAAAAATCCAATTCCTGGTATTTTATAGGATGGATTACCAATAGCCCTTGGAAATATCTGTTTCCTTTAAAGCTGTGCTACAAATGTAGTTTTTAGGGTATGGTTACTGTTTCTAGTTAATGTAGCAAGAGGAAACAACTTGCTCCTGCATCGTGTTCAAAATGTTGCTTAGCAAAACAAATGTTACACTGTGTATTTGTGCAGCCCAAGGTTCCAGCAGGAGTTAGACCCTGAACCCTGACTATTCCGAGAGCTCATCAGCTGCCTGCTGATTTTTGAAACTGAATTGGGGATCCAAAGGCAGCATAAAGTCATGTCTCTCCATCTTGTCTTGGGAGACCTGTCAGTTTTCAGGGTGATGTCTTGGAAGGAAAAATGTGGTGGGCTTTGCTTTAAAAACTCTTCTGTGTTCCTCTGTGCAGTCTAATGCCTTGCACAGATCAGGGTTCAAGTACGAGGTAGTTTTGGGGCCTCCAGCTCCAAAGTTTTTTGAATCTCTGTCAGTTTGGCTTTTGCTCTCCTTTTGTTTGGCTCCTTTTAATTCTGTTGGTCTCTGTTCCTTCGGTGACAGAGGGACAGAGCACAGCTGTTAATTCCTCCTTCCCTCCCTCCCTCCCAGTGGAAAGGCGCTGCCCCTCCCAGCAGTGCCAGCTATAGTCTGAAGGAGCACTGTAGCATAATGAGGTCGGCAGCACCACATTTGATGTCACTCTATAGGTTAATTCAGTTTCTTGACTTCCTAGACTATAAAGCAACATCAAGAGAGAATTTTCATAACCTGATAATGTTTTTCTTTCCCCCCCCCACTGTCCACTTAATTTCTTTGTGATATTTTTAGAAAGATCTTCCACAAACATTTGGACTTCAGAAAGACATGCCCAGCTCTCTAATGTACCCTTTCCCAGATCTCTCTTGAAAAGAGATTGCCACATGCACATTTTACTTCCCTGAGAGTTTTATTCAGAGAAGAGACTTTGCAGAGCCATCTATTAAAGAGAGAAAATTATTTGAGTTTAATAAAGACTGTGGTACTTCTTTCTAGTTTCTGCCTCTGCTGGCAAAAGGAGTTAGCGCCACCACACATTGTTAGTCACAAAAGCTTTTTAATTTTCATTGTGTTTTGGAGTTATGCCTTGCTATTGGGCTGTTATCATAGAACTTTTCCCCCACTTCCTTCAAACACTTTCTTTTCCCCATTTCTACATTTTAACTTCTTTATCATCCTCACTAATTCTCACCAGCAGAAGATGAGTTGGGCTTTCTAGGACTGCCAGGTTATTGTCTATGCCTGTCAGTTAGAGCTGAGCTTAGAGGGAAGGGTGTAAAAGCCCACAGAGCACTGATTTGGCTGATTTAAAATGTCCTTTGAACTACAGGTTGATCTGATGCTCTGCCAAGATACAGCTCTTCCATGGTGTCAATTTACTTTGGCACAGTAGGGGTAGGTGGGAATGGGAGAAGCTGTTGGATCTGGGTGATATCCCAGAAGGAATAAATGGCACAGCAGGATTGGTTTGAACCAGGAAGGGATGAAAGAGCTTCCACTGCAGGAGGATCACTCCGTGAGGCAACTGAATACAAAGACAGTGGTAGCAGGGAAATTTTGGGGATGATTTCCAGACAACAGCAGTGTCAGTGTCTGTCTTATGGAGAATAAGTGACTTTGGACTGGCTTAAAATAGGCTGGTGGTTTTTAGGATGTCCAAGAAATCCCTGTGGTTTTCCAGTGCAGTGAAAATACCTAGGGTGGCACTGTAGGAAGTGCTGTGAGCAGTCAGTGGTGCATGCATGTTTGTAGCACTCCATGGGACAGAAAGCATTGACATTTCTGCCATGGTGGTAGAGGAGAAAGAGAATTGAGGGAATGAGGCACTGCAGGGAAACACTTGTAAAGAACCACCAGCTTGGAAGGCTTAGTATTAGGTTGTTTTATGGGAGTTAATATCACCAAGGAGTCTCCAAAAGAATGGCAGTTATGGCATATGCAGGCTTTGTCCTTATGTGGCACAGTTTTGCTTAGCAGACAACTAATTTCATCCTCCCCAACTCTTTGGTGGGCAGGGGAGAGAAAAAGGGACGTGTCAGAAACCTTTGTTGTTCTGAACTACAAAAATCCAGTTGACAGGAACGGAGGAGTTGCATTGATTAAATCTGAGATTCCATCATCAGAAGTAGCAGGGATCAGCCACGTGGGCTGGGAAATAATTGCAGCGTTGGTTCTGATTAGGGAGAAAGAGAACAAAAGTTGCTTTAAGGCTTTGGTTGTGCTGGCCCTCAGCATTTAAAGTGCAGGGCTTGCTACTGCTTACCCCAGCTTGCTTTATTTAGGGAATTATGGAATCTGAATGTCTATAGTCTTATTTTTAAGCTGGAGTTTGTTCCTGTAAGCTTTTTACTGGAAGTCAGCTATTCTTTTTGCTCATTTTAATGCATTAAAAATAATCCTGTGTTGTGAAGAAACTCAATGGATACAGCAATACCCACTTTCAGGTGCTTAATGTGACATCAACAGATATGTGGCTCAGAGGTAGGAATACAAGTATTTTCAGAGGTTAAGCACTAGGACAAGCCCTGCTCTCTCCGTATTTTGGTGCACAGTAAATTAAAACAGAGGCTTATCCTCATCCTTTTGTGCTCAGAGACGTTTACGGGTTGTGAATTTTGCAGTTTCTCTGCTGTTTGTTCCTGAAGAGCGAAGAAGGTTAATAAAATGTTGCAGCAATACATCAGCTGTGTACACTGTGAGGAGGACAAGCTGCCCTTCAGATTCCCATGGGAAGAGTTGATGACAGAATCTGTGAGATCAGATACAGAACAGGTCTTTGTTCTTAAATGGTGAGGAGAACATTGTGTGTTTCCACACAAAATACTAGCTCAAAGATCGCAGCCACTGTAGGTAGTAATTGTGGTTAGTTGATACTCAGCTGAGATTAAAAACCAAGAAAGATGAGAGTTTTCTGAAACAAACATGTTCAGCCTGCAAAATATTCCCTGACACGGGCAGTATTCCTCATCCTGTTGATTATGATCAACCTTACCACATAGTTTTGGCTAAGGATTTATCCTTGACCAGGACATGGCACTACTGCTACTACTGGCCTCTGCAGCTCCGTAGTAAGAGTGTTTCCTCTGGAATAAGGATGTTCTTGTTGCTGTAGCTTTTCCCACATAATGGGGTTTGAACTACATTTCTCTCTACCCGGTGGCAGGAGGGTGTTCCTCTGCTTTTGGCAGCCTGTGACCGTGACCTTCCTTTAGTTCCTTTGCTTTTCTCATAGTTCCACTTCAGAATCTGACCACCAAATCTGCCTGTGCTGCTTACATGGATGTGGAATCCAATGGAGTTAGTGCTGAAATGCGTTTGCATTGCTGTGTCTGAAGCCATTGGACCCACTCCCATCAAATACCTCCTGTGAAGTGCTAAGTGCTTTAAAATCCCTCTGGAAATTACAGGCTCTCTGTGAATGGACAAATAAAAGCCAGAATGCTGCCTGTTTATTTCACAACTGAAATGACTTTGAACTGCTCGGAGGCAAGCAAAGTGATAAAAATTCCACAGTGCTGAATTTGCTGCTGGTTACTCAAACACCTGAGTATTGCTCCTGATGCCTGCAATATGGAAACCAGGAGAATGCTGGAGGGAATGGCAGTGTTTGTTGCTGTCACCTGCCTGATGTAGCATGAAAAATACCTTAGGATTGTGAAGAACAGGTTGGCAATTCAGCTACAATAGACTGTAATTTAATTTTTTTTCCTTGGGTGGAAGAGACATACTAGGAAGGAGGAGATCAAATTTCCATGGCAGGAATTTATATGAGATAAAGTATCCTGTTTCATGTGGAGAGGATTTAGATGCTGACTTTCTTAGGTTATCTTTTCAATAATCCTCGCTTTTATTTAATTAATTTTCTTTTCCTTTTTGACTGAGATTGCAAAACCTGAAAGTTTAGTGAAGACTTGCTCATCAGACACCAGTGCAAGTGCCAGATCAAGGATCAGTTTGCAAGTCAAAGTGATCAACAGCCATTTTGGCCTATTTGTGCTTTTGGGTTTCAGTTATCCCTGAGGAGAGAGCAGCATTCAGGGTGGCTGTGTTAGCATGGAATAACCCTGATTGAGCAGACACATCCTGTGTAAATTTAGCTAAGTCCTGTGATTTCTCAGTATTGATAAAACCTCAGCAGGGCTGGATAAGGTTACAGCCAAGTGAGGCAGAAAAACACTCAAGTTTTGAAATACTGTGCTCCACGGAGATGCCCAAGGTAGTGGTCTGTGGTAATGAGAACTTATTAGAAAACAAGGAATCTTTTCTGGATACTACAAAATAGAGTTTGATTTGATGTATTTGTTACTATGAGAATAATGCTATTGGAGAAGTTTGTCCCACAGAGCCTCAGCTTAAATAGCCGTGTCCAAAGTATCTGACTTATGCAGACAGTCAGCTAAGAGATGTAATAGCATTCCAGCTCCTAATCTTCTCCTTATCCCAGGGTGAGGTAGGAATGTGTATCTGATATTTGTAATGGATCTGGCCCTTGTGCTTACAGAATGGGCTCAATGCTCTGCACCTGGCAGCCAAAGAAGGCCACGTGGGACTGGTACAGGAATTGCTGGAAAGAGGCTCGGCTGTGGATTCTGCCACTAAGGTAATTGATGCGTGTCTCTAAGTTTATCCAATACATGTGAGAAATATAGACCAAATCCCAAAAAGTACAAAATAAGGGAGTAATGGAAATACCGTACGTATTAAATATTTATACTGTTATTTCTGTTATGGCCTGGGAGTTGCCTTTGCTGAAGCTCATTGGTAGTAAATGAAAAGGAAGATATCATTTCTAGTGTAATACAAGGGAAGCGTTAGAAGTTTTTAGCAATGCCAGATTTCCCTTATTTCCTCATTTTAAGGAGAGTAAGTATAGCTTAAGCAGTTGATTTTTTCAAATCTGTGAAAATCAGTAATTGACTTTATAATATCCAGAGTCTCTTTAGCCATGGGCACAATTGAAAAAACACCTGTGGGATAAGTTGTTTTCCCTTTAGCCTTTCCACAGCCAGGCACGTGCACATAAATGCTATAAAAAAACCTGCTGATTGAAATGATTCCTGAAAAAGGGTAATAATAACTTTCATTTTCCCCCTCCCTCTAACAGAAAGGGAATACAGCCCTGCACATTGCATCCTTAGCAGGACAAGCTGAAGTTGTCAAAGTTCTGGTGAAGGAGGGAGCCAATATCAATGCACAATCTCAGGTATGCTGCTCTTTTCCCTTCTCACTTCTAAAAGTCATTTGGTGAGCTCTTGTAAGGTCTGAGATATTAAACACTGCTTCTAAACATCCAAGCCTGACAAATCAAGCAAATTGAGGCATTCTCTCATAAGCAGAATAAAAGCAAGTACTGAATTGAAGTCATTATATGCTCATTGTGTGATACAGGAACTCCTGTTGTTGGTGATAGAAAAATTACTGAAACAGTTTAGGGAAAAGATTCCAAAATGTATAAATATTGTATTTGAGTGGAATTTCATGAGCAGTGATAAAGAAGATGATTTCTCAAGGGCTTGATTTGTACAATTGCTTTTTATGGTTACTTTTGGCTAAAAGTTGGCAGATAACTTACTCCAGGCTTCCAAACTCCTCCTTCCTTATGTGATCAGAAAGAATTTCAATCAAAAGTTTGTGATATACATTTAAAATGGGGAAAATCACCTTGTCCTGGCAGGAAAACCAACTGTAAAAACTGCCCTCTTATTTCCACTGACATGTAACTTGTCTGGTCTTCCAAAACACACCAGAGGACAGGGTGGTGTCCTTTACCTGTGATTTCCTTTGATTAGGATTAAAAGCCATTTATCAAATAAATAATTTGATCAATGTTCGTAAATGCTGCCTTAATTATAGCAACTGTCTGTAGCTATGAGGGGCTGAACAGGTGGTATAGATGATAAAGAAACTGCACCTTTCTGAAGCACTTGGCTGGTGATAGCCTCAAAAAACAAAAAAAAAAAACCAAAAAAAACAAACATTTCCCAGCACTAGATTCACACCTTGCTTCCCCAGACCTGGGAAACTGGGACCTGGAGGGTTTCCTCTTGTTGGGTGTTACAAATTCACCATGGACAGGGTAAGGTAAGTAGAGAGCAGGAGATGAATAAACTGCTTTACAGAATGAGTGTTTGTCTATTCCTTTAGCACATTTTAAGACAAGAAAAAGAAACTGTAAAAAACTTTTAAGTAGCCTGACTCCAAGATTCTAAAAATATTTTCTTTATTATGCTTTTTGCCCCAAATGATGTAACAGCTCTCTCAGGACTCAGTTGATGGTCAGTTGCTCCCCATGCTCTCTTCCCATTAAAGATGAGAAATGTAGTTCCTTTGTTCAAAAATTTAGCAAACTCCTCTCATAATGAACAAACTGGATGATTTCTTTATATATTTATCAGCCTTTTCATGTGTATTAGAAGATAAAGTCTTTAATGTTTTGAGCATGGTAAGAGAAATAATTGTTAAAAATAATACTTTTATGCAGCACTACTCCTCAGAAAGTCTTCCCAAAAAGCTTTTCCTTATGCAGAAAAAATAAATGAGGTTTTCTAAATTAAAAAAAAGAAAAAATCCAGTTTTTTTAGAACTGTGTTTGTGGGTATTACTTTATACAGTATTCTAGTTTTGAAGACATTTATTGTTAGCACTGGATGGTTTGTGTAATGTACACAGAGCTGTTAACAGGCATTTGCTACTTGACTTAATTGAGTTAATCTGATGGAGGACATTTTCCCTGCTAGTGCTCACTGGCTTCCTCCAGGCAGGATGGATTGGAACTGCTGGGTTACAGATGTCCTGCCTTTGTTCCTTGTTGTCTTAATTAAACAAGTCCTGTCCACTTGACTGGGAGTGGGAATCCTTAATGTGGTGTCATCCATCTTTGGGGCCTTTGGGTTGTGTCTTTCTGGACTGCTGTGCTTTTCCAGAAGAGATGGATAACATGGGTAATAGCTGCTTCAGGCAGATGTTCAGAGGTTCTTGCTGCCACTGCCCAAGGAGACATTCCAGTGGAAAGTGTCCCTTAATTATAAAGTAACTTTTTAATGCTCCATGAATGGAATGAAGATGATGAATGCTGCCTTTCTGCTCAAGGTTGCGTTGACATGTCAAGAATCGTGTCATAGGAAATGAATGTTACAGAGAAAAAACCAGAAACTCTGAAATTAGTAAAGAACAGACATGTGGTTTATGATAACAGATGAAGCAAGGTTCAAACATACCTACCTACAGCTGGTCAAAAAAGAAAAATATCAAGTTAGATAGGAAAAAAGGAAAAAGAATGACTGAACAGGATGTGCTTGAGTTCTCAAAAACTCAGGTTTTGTTGTCTAGAAAGATGTCACTGATGAAAAAAAAGGTGAAGAAAAATATATCGGGAAAGAGCTCAGTGAAGAAAGTGAGATATGAACAAAAATACACATTATAGGTAAAATGGAACACAAAAGTGAGAAATTACAACTGAAATGCTCAACTTCTAATTTTTATATTTTCCCTCAATTCCATTTTTAAAAAGAGGTGTCTTCTTGTCACCATTAAACCTTTTAGCTGCAGTTGTTGCTATTGAGGGTATATTGCATGTTCTCCTTGGTATCTCTGTTATTTCACGCTTTATTTTTTTTAGGCCTCTGTGAAATGCCCTTTGCTGGTAGTGATGTAGTGCCAGCAGAGTTACTCTGGTTGCAGCATCACTTCCTCTTTAAAGAATTCAGGATCTGTCAAAGTCAATTTCCCATAGTGACAAAATTTCTTCTTTGATGGTGAACTGGTAGATAAAGGAGTAGTTGCAACTAGTGCTTGTTCAGTTTGTTCTTTTTCCTTTCGTTTTCTCGATTAAATGGCACAAAAACACTGGCCTTCATCAAAACTTACAAGCAATGACATCTGAAACACTGCACTCATTTTCCAGTTCCTTGCAACAGCAAAATAACAGAATTATCTCAGGAAATGCTATTAAACCCACTGAAACCACTGGGTTTACAAACCTCATCTGTGCTATCTGAGGCTGTTAAGCATTCTGGGCTCTAATTTTATAGATTTTGAAGTTCTATTAGATTACTTTGCTTTGCCCTTCAGTTTTATGTTTGCCTTCAGAGATGTTATTTTGTTCATCTTCCTCTTTTAAAAACTCTTCCTTTTGAGCTAACATGTCATCACTGCTATTTTTAGAGAAGTAATTTCTATTTTGGTACAAAGCCTAATTGCACAGTGATTACTAATTGAGTGACTCCACTTGCAGTTGTGTGCGTGCCATTTGAGAGCTCACATCTTCCTGGAGCGTGTTTCAGGCAAAGGCTGGCACGAGGGCACGCCCAGAATGGCCAAAGATCTACAAGATGCTGCTGTTTGCTGACGTTCCTCCACCTAGAACTGGACAAGAGTGGAATTTTTGGGCTCAGTTAGAAGTGCCTTTTGCTACAAATATTAAATAGTAAATATATTTATATAATTATTATCTATAAGCCCTTTGCTTGATTGGCTCCAGGTATAGTTCAGTGGACAGATCTATACAGGTATCATCAGGTGAAAACTTGATTTTTGCGATTTCTCTCATTGATTTGAACATTATTTTGGTCCTGTGTAGATCTGACTAGGCTGCACTTGTTGATAATAGAGGAATGGTATGAAGGAGAGCACACAGTAGGTAACAGATCCACCCGAATATTCCAGGCTGTTCCTTTGAGCTTTGTGCTGCTTTGCAGAGCAGATCAGGGTCTATCCCATGGATTGATGATCGATGCCATACATGCTGAACTATGTATTCACTTAGGTGGGTGATCCTCTAGGCACTTAGGAATTTCAGTGGGAAATTCAGGCATAGTCTTGAGGGAGCAATGGAATGTTCCATCGGGCAGACCCATGGAAGTGGAATTGGCCACTCACTTCTGTCACATCCATCCCTACCCATGCCCCCATCACACACCTTCACTGAGCCCAGTGTTACCCTTCTTCCACAGCTGCACCATTTCTTCACCCCAAACCTAGTCTTAGTTGTTGCTTGTGCATTCAAAAAGTAACTATTTTTTGTGATCTTCCTCTCAATGAGGTCTACATTTTTGACATATTAGGAATTCTTACATGAGTTCTTGAATTTTTTCCAGGTGGAAGAAATATCACCAGATTTAGTGAGTCCAACCCTTTCCCTTGACAAATTACTCTTTGCTCCTGTTGCTTTCTCTTTAAGTCATCCTGGACCATCTGACTCATGTACAGGCATGGGAGATGTCTAAACACTGGAAATCATCCTTCCAAATGTGCTGATAGCCTGACTGCAGCAATCCTCGTAACTGAGTGTACCTGTAGACTGTCCCTGCAGCAGCGATGCTGAGCTGTCCTGACTATGCCTTCCTTAGGGAATGGTCCATCCTGACATTCTTCTGTTCCAGACAAGGTCAAGAAAAGCCTCCTGTAGAGACTTGCACCTCCCAGGATGAGGCGCTTTGGCAAATGCCGAGTGATTGAGGTACAAAGCTGAAAAGTAGAAGGCAAAATGAGGAAATGCAATCTGCTCCTGTTTGGGAACTGTATGGGAACTGTCACACCCTGTGGCTGCCTAAGAAAGAAGTGATTCCTTTCAATGTTAAAATTCCTGCCCCTGAGTTTGTAAGGGAATGTGTTCCCCATTAGTGCAGGTTATGTTTTGACCGCTGCTTTGCATAGGGGCCCTCACGACAGGAGGAGGAGCTACCTTTTAATCATCAGATTATTTAAAGTGACCCAGATACAGAGAGCAAGGATTAGATAAATCAGTCCTCTCCCAAGCTGATTTTGTTATTTAAAAGCCCTCTGGTTTCCTTTCCTCGACATCCTGCTCTAAGCGCATTGGCCACACATTAGCCAAGAAATATTGTTGCTTGTTTGCCCCTGCCATGGCCACCACTTCCTAGGTCAGTATGCATGAGAGGCTGTAGTGACTGCTCGACCTCCTATCCAGACTTCTTATCAGATGGAAGCAATCCTTAGAGCAGCACATTGCCAGCCCCGATGCGTGCTCCCAAAAGGAGCTATAAGAGCTCTGTGAGCATCCATGTTCCGTGTTGCTACAAAAGCAAAGGGAGGATTTAGGTGATTCTCAGAGAAGGAATCAGCTTGTCTCTGTCAGGATGCCCTAGGATTTGCTTTACCAGGGATTGCTCCCCCCACGGGTTGTAAGGATAATCTAACCTTTGGGATGGAGCACATTTTGCAGAGCATTTGCTACTCCATTAT